GGGACTCTCTTTTTCTTGGATGGAGATAGAGGCACCGCCTCTCGTTCTTCTTTCATCTTCATCATATTCTTACAATTTAATTATTTTTGATTCCTTTGATTCTTTCATGGAATGTATAAAAATCAAGAAAAATGGATAGATCTTCATCTCCCAAAAATCACAAAAAACTCATATTTATCCTCCACCGATTATTCATGAAATAGGGGTGTATATTTTTGTTGTTACAATTTCGCATAACAACAGATTATTTTATGGTGTATTAATGAATTAACTATATTATTTTTATAAAATAATATATATTGTTATTTGATACTAGTACAAATCCCGTGCGATGCACGAGTGTAAGATAATCATTAATATTAATAAACTAAAAATGCTCGTTAAATAATATTATATAAATTAAAATCATTGAATGGTTATGCAATACAATTTATTTATGGGTAAAAGATATTCGTTATTATTTATAAATTATAAATACTCATTTAACAATTGAAAAAAAATGGGAATCAATTTGTAATAAAATTTACCTATATTAATTTATTGAAAATATTATAAAATATAAAATATAAATAAATTAATATAAAGTTTTAAAAATAAAAAGAATACATATTTAGAATGATTAATACATGGATGGAAAAATAAATGTAAAACTAGTAGTATATGGTAACTAAAGGAAAATGAAACCTAAAATAGTTTGGTAATTATCAAGCCTAATGGCCAAACCAAACCCGAATATGTGTCAATAAAAGCGCAAATCTACGCCAAATAAGCTTACACGAGTCTGTTCTTAGACTCAACGTAAAGAATTATATATAAATGTGATATTTATCATTTTTTTAAGAAACGATAGGAACCATTACTGAAACACATAAATACAACCGACTCAGTAGCCTAATGGGGGAGGCCTACCAACAGTAGCCTAGTATCAACAACACAATACTATAAACACACAAAAGCTCCCAAATGAGAAAAATACACATTTACCAACGAGAGAATACATCTCCCCAATAGGAGAATAGACACTCCGAATACGAAGAAAAAACACAAACGCACACAACAACACTACACAAAACAACAACAAAAACACAATGCAACAACAAAAACAAAAAAAAAAAAAAAGATTAAAGTAAAGCCCTTCCCACATCAACGAAACCAAACCGGACACAAAACAACACTGACACCAACACCCACGGACAACCATCCACACAGACAGAGACCGGGTCCGAATCGCAAAGCCAGAAACTGCAGTTGACGCCTAACTAGATCTGAGACAAAGATCCCACCCACCCGGGTAGACCATCCGTAGACCTGCGACTGGAGAACCAAAACAAGCTCCACCATCCCAACCCCAGTACCAAGGCCCAGCACACAAGACCGGATCCCGACACGCCTCTGCCATTGCGACCGAGACGACCCAAAAAACAGAGTAAACCAGGGGACATGAGGGAAGCGAAACATCCCGTTCTCAGCTCCGACCACCGCCCAAAGTGATGATCGAAGCCACAACCCATAGTCGTCGGAACCTCGCCGCCACCCAAACGTTGGGGAGCCACCCTCCCAGACCCTTCTTGGTGATCTGGAAAGCGACGAAACCAAGAGGGCGAAACTGACTCCCCACACGAGAAAAGGAAATCGCTAGTCCGACAAGCCTTTGAAAATTAGCCGCACGGTCCGGTGATGGTCGCCGTCGAGATGACTTGAAGGCCCTGTTGGAGGAAGGCACGCTGCTCGGCCGAGGGTTTGAAGCTTTGGATTTTGGGATCTTTTATTTCTTAGAGAGAAAAAGTTTGACTATCTATTTTTTTTCTTTGTGACCGGAGGTATCCCCACGTTCCATCCAAGACTTCACCACGAACTGCCAGCTCTCCAACAGGGTACGGGCCTAATGGCCTAACGGATCCACACCCAGAGGTGTGAGACTAATTCTCCAGGAGAAGTGAAGTGCCCCATCCCCACTCCCTACAATAGTAAAGTTCGATCCCCTGACCTTTCACCCTCCCACTAAGCCAGTGGACTACATGCCTCGGGGACAAAGTCTGACTATCTTCAAACGGTGATTATTTATTGTTTGGTTAAAATAAAAAAAAGAGACGGTTGAATAGTCGTCAGATTTTATTTTTATTATGAATTTTTTTCTTAATAAGAAAATATGATTCACAAAATAATTAGAGCATCTCCAATGCTATAATGTTGTTATAGAAATTTTTGACAAATGGCAAAAAATTAAATAGATTGTGAACCATGTAGGACAAATGTTGAGTTCACAACTATTAAATTAAAAAATCATCTCCAATGCACAATGTTGTCTAATTATAATATGAGTAATGTTATAAGTACATAATATTGTACATAAGAGTGTACATAACACTCACATTTAGTGGGACCTACTAAAATTAAAAAAATCAAGTGGACCCCACTCCATGTGAGTGTTATGTACACCTCTGTATACATTTATTATGTATTTGTAGCATTTTTCTTACAATATAATCTATTTTCCAAATAATAAAAGTTTAATATGAATTAATAAAATTAATTAAATAATTAAATAGTTTGAAAATGATAATAATAATTGCCTCTCTTCTTCTCATTAGCTAACTAGAATGTGTAGTAGAATTTGGATGAACTACTAGGGATAAAAACGGACGGGAACGGGCGGGAAACCCCCTAAACCGTCTCCGTTCCCACATGTTTTGACCGGGAACGGGAACGAGAACGGGAAAGAACGGGAACGGGAACGGATGCGGGACATCCCGGTATACGGAAACGAACTAATACGAACGGATATAATACCGGTAACGGGCGATAACGGGCAATTAAAAGCGGTATGACGATGACAAAAAACCACAATCATAAGTCCATAATTGACACCATAATAAATTTAAAAAAAAAAACCACAATCATAAGTCCATAATTGACACAATAATAAATTTAAACACAAGTCCAACAACCGGTAGTTCACAAGTTAGTCCACAAATTCACGACACGACATAGATAGCGACATAAATCTTAAACACTTAAGTCTTAATGATGATACTGGAGTCTGGACCACACGTCCACTATCCACACTAGACACCACACAATGGCACAAGTTCACAATGTCCTGACAAAGGACAACAACGAGAGGAAACTTAATAAGCTATTGCAAGTCAGCAAGTCTGCTGCTCTTGAAGTTGATTCAAAAATCATGTGCTCAACTACCTAGTAGCTCCTAATCCTAATAAGTATCTAACATGTTGTGCTAGTGCTAGTGCGAAACTGATCTACTACTCTTTACTCTCTACTGATGGAGTGATGTCGTTACGGGTACCTGAAATGGAACTGCTGGTGCTGCCTTTCCCAGAAGAAACCGCCGGCGACATTGCCTCTACCAAGCGACCCAAAGAAATGCTCTTCTGCTGTCGTGGCCTAGCCTTAGGAGTGCAACAACCTGCTTTGGTGCGTGGCATTGCGACACTAGTAGAAAAAACACTTTTAAGAACGGGTATATTTATATTAAAAAAACTACTAACAGCAAAAACACAATCGCAAATTCATACAAAGATTAGAAACAAACAGCTCGAATCACAAAAGGTTTGCAGTTCCAGCAGGCACCACTACAGAGAAGTACACCAAACAAAGATCAAAGTTATCAAAAGCATAACTAGAAATTTAAACTAATATGCAAGTAACAACTACTTTTTACTGCAAAAAAATGAAAATGGCATCTGAATCACCAACACCCAGTTCCCCAACTTCAATCTCCACAGACTCCACTCAACTTAAAAGCAAAAAAAAAAAAAGGGCAGAAAACGGAAAGGTGGGCAAGATCCAAAGAAGCGGAAAGATTAAACCCCGACAACTGAAATAATTTTTATTTTTTATTTTTCAAAATGAAAGATCCTTTGATTTACCTCGGAGAGCAGGAGACCTTCACCCGGATTTCTCAAAATTCGTGGCGAGTGCGTCTTATTACAACGACGATTTGTGTGGGCCGCCTCTGATTCAGTGCGAAAAATAAAGGGTCGCGGTTGGAGGTCGGAGGTTGAAGGTGGCGGCGTGGCGCCGAGAATAGCCAGGTATGCAGTGGGAGAGAATAAGAGATAGATGAGGTTTTAGCCTTTTAGGTTTAACTTGGGCCTGATTGCCTGAAGGATTTAGAGTTGCGGTAGGAGTGTTTGTCTAACTTGGGCCTTCGGCTGACTTGGGCCGAGATGCGAGCAGTATCCCGGGAATTCTAAACGGGATAAAAACGGGATATTCTCGCTAAAAAAGGGAAACCGGAAAAACGGGCGGGAAACACCTCAAACCGTTTTCGTCCCGTTACCGTTTTTATCCGTCCCGTTACCGTTTTTATCCGTCCCGTTCCCGGAAAAAAACCAAAAATACGAAAACGAGCGGGTCAAATATGGAAACGGTTGCGGGACGGTACGGGATTTTCCCGTCCCGTTTTCATCCCTATGAACTACATTCTTCTCTATATTGAAGACATTAATTATGTCCACATTATCCCTAACATTTATAAATTAATTATGGTGTGAAAAGTGGAAGGGGTTTATTGTGTTGAACATCATCATCGTCTCCCATTTCTAAAGCGACGCTTCTCTGTCTGCCAGTCATTATCGCGGGCACCGCTCAACTTCAGTTCGACTGCTAACGAATAAGTGCATATCTAGTTTCCCCTTCATTTGTTTCGTTTTCTTGCAGTTATATTTTCATTCGATGTATTTTGAAAGGGTTCGTATTTGCTCTAGAAAAAAAAGTCTGTTGCATTTATCCCCCTTCTGAAAATTTGAGATTCGTACGAGAATATGGGTGTATTAGTTATGATTGTCTGAAAAAAGAGCTTCAATTGCAGGGGTTGCAATACAATGGTGCTTGATGGAGAGTTAAAACGGTTTCGAATTGATAATTACATAAAAAAATTAAAAAGAATTGGGTTTTATCGATTTTTTCTTTGATTCGAGCTTCTAAGAGCAACAAGGCGAGATTGCATGTCATATTTTGTTATACTTTACTTGAATTGTGCTAAGAAATTCTTTTAAGGTTCGGCCTAAGTGTCTAAATTAAGCGAATATCTGATGTTGCTGTTCATACCGACATATTTTCTTTTATAGATACCTTTTGTTTTGCTCGCAGGATAAATCTCTAAGCTGTTAAGATCCACTCCAAAGTTGGTGATCTCTAAGCTTCTTAAGGATTAGAATTGGCAAGTGAAAATCCATGACCCTGTTGCAGTCGACCTGCAGATACCTACTGCAAGTCTTGTCCACTCGGGTTCAAAAGTAAAAAACCAATCTTTAGTGTTACTGTAATAATTATCTTTAACTGATTTGTATTTTGTTTTTGTTGTGCTCAAGATTATGTATTTTTATCAATTGATTTGTTTGTTGTCATGTTTCCTTGATCTCGGATGTCACTACTGTATGAATCAGACATATTTGATTTTGGATGATGTCGTCTCTGGTATACATTGTTGTTAATGTAATTTGTTAGGCAACAGAGTGTGAATTTTAGAACAGTAATGAGCTCTTTTCTCATAATTCTTCTAGTTGTTCAGGTATATGGGAAAGTATTTATAAACTATTTATTGCCAGTTATGTTTTTGGTTTGTCTCATGTTTGTTGCTAATAATAAAATTAATGACGTAAGTGTGAATTGTTCATATCAATATCAGTGACAGACCTTGATCTTTTCTGTATGTTCGTATACGTAAAATAGAAAAATATTAACAAAAATTCAAATTGACTTATTCTTCGCTCCTATTCAATACATGTATCTAGAGGTTTTATGCCTTTCTTAATTAAAATGTTTGCCGAAAACATTCTCTTCTCTCTCTTCTTTTTGTTGACCTGTAAGGCTTTCTAGTATAACCATTGCTGTGTCTTTTATATGATCCCATTTATTTCTATTTTTATTACTATTCCATAGACAACAACATTTGTCTTGCATAATTGTGTGGTTTATCTGTTCCTTGATGAAATGCGGATGGGACAATTGCTGATACCTCGTTTTTCAGTCTTGAGAAAGGAGTTGAGTTGGACTGCCAGTGGGTAGAATTTGATGATGTCCGCTACCACATTCAGGTGATCCAACTTGTTGGCTATTTTGGTATAGTCATCGTTGAAAACTATTCATGTAAAAACTGCAGCTTATGCTTTCAATCAATAATGTTTCATTGCATGTTAGCATTTTGTAAAGCACATTGCATGCTGGAGTCTTCTCGCGTCTCATCTAATTAGCGTTTTGCAGGCATCTGTGAAGAATCCAAATTTCGTCCTGCTATCACTTTCGTTACCAACTCCACCTCCCGAAACTGTATCTTTTGGTGGACTCCCTGAAGTAGCTATAGAAGCAATAAAAGCAGCATACGGTGTTTTTCTACAGATTCTTGATCCGCCGAGGGATGGTTTTAATCTCACAGTGAAACTGAACTTATCCAAACTTCCACCAGATGAAGGTTCAGTGAGTTTCCTTTGTAAGGTCATACATGACAAGCTTTCCATGATGACTATCTGAAATGGAATCCCTGTCGTGAAGAACTTTGGAATTTTGCAGATGATTTGTCCATTTACAATATTTTAAATGGCCTGCTGTTTATTGTTGAAGTAACTCATATTGGTGCTTTCCTTGGTTTTTGGGGATAATGATGAAAAACTACCTTTATCTTATGTGGATAAGTTGACTAACAATTTAACATCTGATACTACTTTTAATTGTCTTTCCATTGCTTGAAGCATGTTACCTTTCGAGTTCTGCAAACATGCATCTAGTATAGCCGTGTACAATGTTCGATGCCTTATTTTCATGATAGTTGAGTTTTATCTAATGCATATTCTGGTTGTATAGAGCATAAGCAAGCACTCCTGGTTAAGATTGCCTCGATAAGAGAAGTTGTCCAGGGTGCACAATTAAGAGCAATTCTAAAGCAGCTTATCACGAGGGGTGCTAAATCTAATTTGAACCAACCTGTTTCCATTGTTCATCGGCCAAACGAATCATTTTTTGTTGTATCTCAGGTAATTTAGTCTAAACTTTTCTGTAGTCATTATTTTTTTTTTTTAAAATCATGAACATCATAAGTATGAGGATTATCAGTTTCACCCTGTTAGACTATAGATCTGTTTCAACATATCAGCTAATATTTCCAGTGAGGCATGTTTGCTTGTCCATCGTCGATCATGCTACTCACCTATCATGTTGAATTGCTTGGAAGAATTTTCACATCTTGCTTTATTTGTGTGAAAGTAATTTTACAATTTTGGGTGAACTTGGCGTATTGTTTTCCTATAGGACCTGAGTGACATGTGCTTGTTTCCAGGTAGATAAGGTAATTGTCATTTTCCCCATGCGGTTCAGGGATTCTGTCGATACTGTTCTTGCAACTTCTTTCTTTCAGGTATGTGGCTTGTATTACTATCTCGGGTCTTACTTTTTTTAATCAACTTTTTCTTCTCTCTCTCTCTCTCTCTCTCTCTCTCTCTCTCCTTGTGGCATCAGAATTACACTGTCCTCGACATTTTTGTAGTTTTCTTTTACATTTACATGATAAGGGTGATAATAAGCTGTTTAAAAATTTTAATTAGATGGCAGGACTTACCAAGTTTCTTTGGTGTCTCTATAACATTGTACCTATTTAGGAATTTGTGGAAGCAAGGCGAACTGCTGGGCTAAACAGTGCCCCTCCTTGTCATTGGTCTGCTTCCCCCCCTCAAGAATTAGAAGGAGTTCCTGATGATGCATTAGCAGCAAACTCGGGATTTATCAGCTTTGGTAGTACATATTTTTGCTTCTCATGCAAACTCGGGAGTTCCTCAATTTATTTATATATGTATGTATGTATCTGAATAAGTCATACGTCTCTGGTGAACAGTAATATTCCCTCGCCACGTGGAAGGCAGAAAGCTTGACAGAACTGTTTGGAGCTTGACAACATTTCATGCTTACGTTAGTTATCATGTCAAGGTGAGGAACTGCACACCGTAAAAAATTTGTGTTCACTCGATATGAAATTCTTTGAAGAACCATTATTATATATTACAAGACCAACTGAAAAGTTGAGATGTTGAGTTTTAAGCGACAAACTATACAAATTGCAAGAAAGGACAGATACACAAGAAAGTTGTGGGGAAAAGTTGTGGGGAAAAGGTGTAAGTAATTTAATATTGAAACTCTTTGTGCAAGAGATAATAAAACGATAGGAAACACTGCCCTACAGTGAAACAAAAAAAACATTGATACTGAACTCTTATGCAATTCATTGCAGCCTAATGTGATTGTCCTGCTATTTCTTTCAGTTAATTCATGAGTTTGGGATTAGGTTTAATAATAGTTCTATTTCTAGAAATCTCTCTCCACTTATTATAACTTTTATGATGTGTATCAAAGCTATGAATAGAGATCATTGTAACTCTGTTTATGACTGTAAATCACTTTCTAGTTTTCTCTTTACTTTTTGGGATTTGATGAATTTGTTATATTTTAGACTTGCTATGTCTGCTGAGTGGTTCGTGGCATTTTTTCGATGGAATGTTTATATTGTTTACTAAAAAGAAGCCAAAAGTGGAAAAAAATTGTTAAGGAATACCAGTTTCATTATTTTAGGGGAGGGATATAAATCTGGACAGAGCTAATACAATTCTGTTGTAGTCCTAGATGTGGAGGTTATAATTTATCATGCCCAGCTGAATATAGTGACGAAAAGGAGAATTCCTCTTGCATTATGCAGGATGTAACTAATATTTAATCTCAAAAGCTAAACATTGAAAATCAGGCTGTCCTTGTTGAGGATCGAAGAAACAATTCATTAATTTTCTGTGCTAACTTGCTTGGTTAAATTTTGGTTTCAGACGAGAATACCTGACGATTTTTATAATATCCAAAATGTGCTTTGTACGCAGTGCTCAGAAGGTTTCATGCACACCCGGATGAGACGCCGTGTTGAGTCACTAATAGAGGTCAGTCTTCTGTTTTTGGCTTCTTCACGAATTTAGCATTTTTGCACCTTCTCTCGACTGACTATCTCATTCTGGTTTTTTCGTGGTTGTGGATTTTATTGTGTTGAACGGTAAAGGCCAGTAAAGCCCATACCGTACCAGAATATCACTTCTATACGAAATCCATTAATGTTTAAACTACGTGGCAAGTTTATTAAGCTCTATACCCTTTAATGGTATATCATTATTAATTGTCATTCCTCTGGATACACTCATCAAATTCCAACTCTCGGACCAGCTGCATAGTTGCTAGATAGATATTAATGTCTTATTTTTGGGTTAAACAAAGTTGGTACTGATAAAAGTATGATTTATTCTGAAATAGAATGTCATAGTTTTCATTTTCATTTGATCCGCAGAGGGCCTGCTTGGTATGAAGGTTTAGGTTAAAAGGAATGGGAAATTGGGAATAAAGGAGAAATAGTTGGTTGTTAGAAGGGTATATGGGTGTGCTAGTTGTAATAATGGGAATGGATCTTTCTCCTTCATATTTTGAATGGATAGGGCTCACACTATATTGATTAAGAAACTATCTTGATGTGAGATTTGCTATGGTAGCCCTCAAAGTTTTCCTCTTACTCTTCCGATGGGTTTATATGCGCCCACTTATTTCAATTATAAATACCTATTTGGCATGCATCCATTTAAAGGAAGTGCATCCTCATGGGGTGTATTATTAAGGTATAAATTTTTCTGATTTAAAAAACGAGACGTATTTCTTAATTGATTTCATGGTCATTTTTTTAAGCATTCCGTGCTATTTGTGCTTTACGTTATTCCGTGCTCTCAGTGTAGAAATATTATCGAGATAACTGCGAACTGTTGTCAAAACCACTTTTTTTTTCTTCTTTATTAAAAGAGAAAAATCCAACATTTTTAAAACTTGTTTATTATTTTCTATTGTCTTTGGGGCATTTGTGTCATTTTAATCTCTATAAAGTCTACAACCATGACATGATTCTCTTTGTGCCTCAGGCTCTTGATCGTGCCAAACCTGATGCAGACGAGTCTGAGAAAAAAAGGGTCCAAAGTAGATCCTTCAAGCGACTGGTGCGTTTGTCTTAGGCAGCCTTTTGTACCCGACTTTTGTTTTTCATCCCGTGCTTGTTGAGTTTCAACTCTGTTTTTCATTCTTTCTTATGCAGAGTATCAGGGATGGACAGGGCAGTTTCAATTCTAGATGAGATCATATGATAAAACATTCTTATCTGGCGGTATTTATAAATAAAAAAGAATGGCAAAGAACACAAAGGAAAATAAAAAAAAAAAAGAAAGAAAGGACGATACATTGTAAAAATTGATGGGGGAGATAATTCCATTTGTGTTGAAGTTGATGAAATCCATACACATTGCAAATAACTGTTTTCGTGCTTTCGGCTTAGTGTTGGGCCGTGCTCGTTTGCTTGGAGTGGCACTTCTATGGCCTCGCCTAATTGGTCACACCCCTTGTCAAACATTGTTTTTAGGGTTTTTTACATTATGCTTTCTCTGATTTTGTATGTACTATCAATTTGTCCTGTGCTGCTGTGGAATGAATAGATGTATTGCTAAGACTACTGAGTTGCATAGGTAAGAAAATCAGATATCATCGACTATTTTTAGTAACATATTTATTCATCAGACTTGGCCACCAGCGTGAAGATTTTGTGACCTTTCAATTACACACTCAATGTGTGTGATATGCCACACTCTTAACATGTTAGTGGATATATTACCTCGTGTGTTCATATAAATGGTGGGCATATGGACAACAATTTATGAATCTATTAGTCAAGTTTTAATGTTTTAGTTGAAAATTACCTGTATAGATTAAATCTGCTTCCAATGGCAGGCAATATATATGAACGGGTGGATGGTCTGATATTGAAGAACTATTGCATGGTCCGTGATGCATATTAAGATTCTCTATATAAGTTAAACGTATAAATAACGTGAAACACAATCTAACATATATATCATTAAAAGTCAAAAGGCAATATCATGTGGCCTACATGTGTATTAATAAGCGGTAATTTTATGTGAGTCCGTTTAGTTGTTAAGCATGTCAACCTGTCATAATGGTACGTAAAGACCCTTGACCGGCTGGAATCGGTTTGCTCAAGTGCTTCGTCACTGGCTGAACGCCTTTGACTTGCAAAACTTCTCACGCACCTTCGATTCTTAAATTAGTATGTGAATGAGATGATTTACAGAGAAAAACGGAGTATATGAACGTAATGAGGTAAAATCTCACATCTCACCCCTATTTATATGAGTGAGATATCTGTTTCTAGAATGCTGCCCGGATATGATGAGCTGGCTACCCCAACTGCCCAAGTTGCCTGATAGTATAACCTTTCTACTCAGAGTGTCATAGCGGTTACGGGACGTGGACCAATCAGGTGGTGCCACCTACCCGTGCCCATGTATTGTGTCAATTATCATAAGATTCCTTTGATCCTTCATGATTAGACCTCCTAGTAGCTCTATCATGTTCAAATCTGCTGAGGTAGAGTTCTGACTGCTTTGGGCTAAATGTAGCTTCCTCTGGTCGATCAGTCAACCAGTCGTGCCTACATGTCAAATTTCAATTAGGCCAATCGACGACCTTAGCTCAACCTATTGTTGTCCTGCACCCCTTATATTGTCGTCCCGATCGAAGGCTCTTAATTTTCCATTAGTGAGGCTCGACCACCGCCAGTCCTGCTACGATTCCATTCGACCAAGCGGCTCGCTCAGGTTCGTCGACCGGTTTACTCCCTTAGGTACGATATCCCATATCATCTTGTCCCCCCACTCTGGTCGAGTTTGAATAGCTCGATTCAAGAGTAAATTTTTGTCCTTCAGTTTTGTTGTTGTACATCGTCTTTTATTTTTCGACCACTCCCTCTACTTTTTCCCGCATTTCCGACTTCCTTCTGGCCTCCATTTTAAATTTTGAAATTTTGACTGCCACCTGCCAGATCTGTTAGACCCATCCAATCACACGTCTTGCTAACATCATTGCTCTATAAATCGAGTCCTCAAACAGTGCGTCCATTAAATTTCGCATCAATGTCGTCCTGTGGATTTGCCTTTAATCTAACGGTTGAATGCCCAGTCGTCCCTTCGGCTTGCCGCCACATCGAGGCCCTTAAACCCTTATTTAATCCAACGGCCTAGTCGACCTGCCCTTTTCACTTCACTCTTGTTAAATCTGCACCCTTCATTCTTGCCTTCATCGGACGATCCTCGATCAATCGATCTTTTCACTAGACCTCGCTACTGCCTATAAATACCCTTTAAATCAATATTTTCTACTTTTTCGCCTTTGAAAATTTTGTTCTAGTTATATTTGTGCTCATGCTCTCGTTCTTTCGATCGTTTTCCCTATAAATACCCCTTAAATCAATATTTTCTAGTTTTTCACCTTTGAAAATTTTGTTCTAGTTATATTTATGTACTTGCTCTCGTTCGATCTTTTTCCTCGAGTTCCTTGCCGCTCCGCCGCAACTCACCAAACTTTTCCAGTTTTTCGACCAATCTTCATCAATCTTCCGAAAATAAGTAAGTATTTTAATCTTTTAGTTTGTGTTTTGCATTTGAATTTTTCAATTTCGGATTTGATTTTCCATCCAACCCCACGACCACAACTTCATCTTCCTCACTCTCCTCTCCTCCCCCCAAAAAAAAAACCCTAAAAACTTTTTGATGTTTTCCTTCTGTTTTTCAAATTCCGCTACCTCGAACACAACTATTTCTCTGGCGAGGACATGACTTCTCCTTCTTCATCTTCGACCTCGCGACCTCAACTTTATTCCCCTAGAGACTTCGTTCAGGAGATTCTTCAATCCACACCTATTTCTATTATTCGACTTGAAATTCGAGTTGGGTCTCACCAAGCCCGAGGGACCTCAAACAACGATCTTCCACCTCTCCATCGGTCTCACTAACCCTTTGGGCTATACGACGAGCTTGATTAAACGGAGGAAGAGGACCTTGAGATCCTCCATCCCAATCCCCTAACTACAGCCAATCCTTGGCTCGCTTCGACCTTCAAAGCTGGTCCCTGTACTGACCATTCCCCTTCTCCTTCTCAAGCCTATCCTTCTCGAGCCAATCCTCCTTGCCAATCCATCACGCTCTCGCTCCCGTCGGGCTAGCTGGTTGGACATTGGCGAAATCGACCATCCTTCTGGTTGTGCTTTCTACAGTCCAGGCACACCAACAACACTTACAATAACCCTCCCGAGGATTGGTATAACTTTTTCCAATGCCAATTCAAGTTAGGTCTTTGTTTTTTGCTTTGTCCTTCCTTGCTCGACACGTGTAAGATAATCGATTTACCTCTGAACCAACTCCCTCCCAATTCCATTCGACATATTACTATGTTTATTATTTTATCCTTTGTCCGCCTAGGTATCATCGACCCCGACCTTTTCTTTTATTGTTTTGTGGCCCTGAACCAAAGAGGTGGGCTCTGCCTGAAAAGTCGAAATAATGTCCACTTTTTATTTGGTATTCCCTCTAATGTTCCCAAATGGAAACATAAATTTGTATATGTTCAACTGATATTCTTTTTCCTTGGGCCTCGGCTCCGTGGCTCGAGGTCCCTCATTTTGAAACTCAAAGTCCTCATCGCAATCCCTTGTTCGACCGACGCATTGCTATGTGGAATTTGAACAAGGTTGCTTCCAAAACCTACCTTGAAGACAACAACCTTTTGTGCCACTGTGGTATACTCACCCTTGAATCCTACTCTCCACCCTTTGAGCAAAAACTTCGTGATCTTCGCACGACCACTCTATTCGATCCTTAACTATTATCACTGTGTTAACCTTCACTCTACATTTTGCAGGGAACATCATGACTAAACCAAGAGAGCTGCTTCTATAGACAAGAGGATGTCGACCAAGAAAACCAATCCCAACCAGTCCAAACAAAAGACAAAGCGCCAAACCCCCTCGACCAAGGAAAGCAAATTTGAGTCTAATTTAATAAACTAATAAATTCATATAGATATTATTTCACTAAATCAATTCGTAGAAATCAGGTGTGATGTATAATAGATGGAATCCTCATTTTTCAAAA